GTAGCCTTCCTCTGTCTGCCATGATACTTTATTCTCTTCTCTTTCTCCCCATCTGCAATACTTAGTCACACGTATTTTGTGTAAAGAGTTGTTTGAAAATACAGCAGTCAAATTAAAAACACAGATCCTACATTTTATTTCAAAGGTTATTCCTGTTTGATTTTGTTTTGTGAGTGAACTGCATCTGATCACTGCTTTCTACAGCCGCTCTGTAGTGGTTTATCTGAGTAAGGACATGTTAATCCCGTCTTACTCCCAGGTTAAATAATCTCACTTTTTCATTTTTGATTCACTGTATAATTATAACAAATATTACCATCTAAACAAGTCCCTCCATTTGTGCTTGTCTTCTCTGTTATAAGTACTTATCTCCAGGGGAGACTACTACTGAAAAACTTTTTTTTGACCCTGTTACTCAGTGACGATTTGCATTAGACAAACTACTTTTGAATCTCCTTAAAATGTTTTCTTTATCCTTAAAATGTAAAGGGGTGGTGAGGTGCAAATCTAGCGATGTATTTCTCACATTGATCATTTTACCTACAAAAAGCAAAACGAAAGTCACAAGTCTGATGATGTGTAAAACAGGTCGGATCAGATTTTTTAGTTGAACACACCTTGGAACTCGCCTCTTACGGTAGTTATTTGATCATAATGGTTCAAGAGAGGCAGTTTGTGTTTTTGCTGCTCCTGACTTTTCTATTTAGACTTTCTACAGCAGGTGAGTGAAAATTCTAGCAGGTTTTCATATTTATGTCAGGGTGATGGGACTCATTGGGTTGACTTTAACTTGTCCACTGGACATCTGAGGAAGGATCATGTGTGGGAACATATTTAGCAGCTAGCCTGCTGCCTGGTTAGATGATAGTAGTTATTTCACTGTTTAAACACAAACAGCCATGTCATGACTATTTGTGGTTCAATAACATGTTGGTTCTACATCCTTAAACATCCCTGTAATCTCTGCTGCCTTTCTGACGAATGGTTTAATGATCTATAGGTTTCAGTTTGTCATATATGATGTGTTATGATGAGTTTGGTGAAACACTTGCCACGGCTTGCCAAAATGTTCATTTTACATTAACTTGTTTTATAACCTTTTCTAAATCATTTCTCTAGTATCTTATCAGCCTTTGCTCAGAAAAAATACCTTGACTTATAAATGAAACCAAGGCCGACAGCAACTCACAGAACCTGTTAGTGTAGATTCCAGAACTATCAGTGGTTTCAACATTTCCTCTTGTTTTCTTTTCTTATTTGTGTTTAAAATCATTCTTTGTCACTTTACATTAAAGCAAAATGTCAAACAAAATTTTAAATGATTTTTAACTAGATATTTTAACCCTGAACAGCTGTTTGGTCCATTTCATGTTTTAAAGATGGATCAGTGATGGAAGCATTTTCATCAATGTGTCAAATTCATGTACAGTATGAGCTGAGCTGAGCATAAGCTGAACATGTTTTAGTCCCCTGAAAGGTAAAGGTTTGATAGAATTACCATCATTTTAATTTTAATAAAATGTTTCTTCTCACTGGATGTTATGATTATACTTGTGAGAAAAAAAGAGTCCTGGTTCAAAACTAAAGGAGAACCTGTTAGATGGAGTTAAAGATTAGGGTAATAGTTAAGAGGCTCGGCCTTCAAATTTCAAAAAGTAAGATCTCATCCCCATAGAAGAAATCCCAGAAGAAAAATCCAAGAAGCTAATCAGAGGAAGGGTCTTCCTGCTGTTTATCCTGTAAAGATTTTTATCTGTTTATAACTGAAATAATATAGATAATGTTGACTTTCTTTTTATTTAAAAAGTTACTTGTGACTTGATCTCTATGACAAAGACAAATAAAAAAGAAGTTTTATTTAAAATGATGTCTTTGCTTACTCTACAGACACTGAGGTGACATGTGTTTTGGACCAGACATGCATTTTACCCTGCATATTCCAGTACACTTCTGATCTGGTGCTCCACTGGATATATGTATCAGGAGGCCGCATTGTTCACTCCTACTATCGCGACAAAGACCAGCTGGAACATCAGCACCAGCGCTTTAAAGGCAGGACCTCACTGTCCAAAGAGCTGTCCAGGGGTAATGCCTCACTAACACTGATAGGAGTGAGAGCAGAAGATGAGGGAAGATACAAGTGCTACACCAGTACCATTGATGGAAACCAGGAATCATTTGTTAACCTAAAAATTGAAGGTTTGATGTTTTTATTTAACAATTGATTTAAACATGTTCAATCAAAAATCATTTTGTAAAGTAAATCATTTGTAATTGATGTTTTTTTCCTTACTAATCAGACAAGTTACCTTTATTCTAGATGGAAAATGCTATCAGATCCAGCTTTTGTATACTTTTGACGGTGCTGACCATTATCCAGTGGGACGTGTGGTCTTGTTTTAAAAACATTGTGGGGCTCATCGTCTAGAATGATTGTACATCCCAATGCCTGGACCCCACAAGAGCAATTCCTGTTTTTGGGTCAAGCTTCACCTTTAGGACTACAGTAGTAGCCGTTCAAAATTACCCTACATTCCTTGATGGGCCCTTGGCTGGTAATTCCTTTTTAAACATAATTTTTTGTACTAAAATATTCTTTCTGTCATGATCTGTGGACATTAAGATCTAAAGATAAGCATCAACTCCTGCTCAGACACTGTAATTCAGTGAAAGGTTGGAGTCAGAGTAAAACATATGCAAGAGGGGGTCACTCGGATAGCTGGAAGTTGTAGGGGATTTTGCCGGGAGATGGAGGGAAGTGGGCTGCCATTCAGCTGGCGTTTGACTGGGAAGGGTCATTTTGAATGGCTGCTACTGTAAGCTATGAATTGAGTTCAGGCTGTGGTTAAGGTTAGGAATGAACCCGCAATGTTTAGGTTTAGGGTCACGGTTAGGCTGTAGAAATTAATGGAAAGAGGGGATGGATTGGACAATTCCATTACTTTACCTACTCCAGAAAATATTTCTATACTAGCGTACCCAATGGAGAAGACGGGTCAATCTAGGTAAAGGCATAAGTATGCCAGCAGTCTTCATTAGTGCTGGTAGGAAGGAAGGAAGTAGTGAAAGAAAGCAGGATGCTTCCTATCCATGATTTCATTAACATAGGGACCTCCTAGCATTGCTATCGCTGATTAAGATCCATAAGAAATCCCACAGTCCTTTCCATAACAAGACATATAGGCATATACCACATCAGGGATACAAAATGGATAACATGTTCACATGTACTTTGTGCAACATATGGTAATGTACACACCTTCGTATGTTTGGGTTTTATAAAAGGGAGTTTTGTTGTATTGGATGGCTATAGTCCTAATTTGACAAGCATGATCCATGTGTGTTTCCATCCCTTAATGATGTCAGAAAGGGCGAAGGCTAACCGAATTTAGCACAGCAGACCAGAGTTCCTTTCCTACCCACATTATTGTCCTTACTGTCCTGTTGACCCTGCAGATGGTGAAGGGACAGAAGCTAGGAGCCACAGTCTGCCCAATTCACAATTAGCTGCTGTTTAGTAACACTAAGTAAATGTTCCAAAATCTAAGAATCACAGTGATGACCTTGC